ATAAAAATGATGCGAGAACTTGCTAAAAATAACAAACCACTAAAACTGAGAAAATGCGGTTATGCAGTAATGATGGAAAGAGAGATGTTGTCAAAGAGGAATAAAAATTAAATTTGGATAGAGTTTAAAAATTCATCTTTATTAAATTCATCTCTTCCAATCAATTTATTTATTCTATTAAATTCTTTTATTTTTGCTTCACTCAGTTTAAGGATTGAACGGTAAGTTTCTAATTTTTCGATTATTTCTTCATCGTTTTCAGTTCCATTAGTTTTATGGGCATCAACCCCACCACATTGCGGCTTCTTTTTGTAATAGCATATTTTTGATTTAATTCTGTTTAGTTTCTTTTTATATTCATTGTCAGGACTCTTGGCTGCTTTGTTGTCACTCATTTCTTACGAAATAAAAAAATTAAATATTATTTAAATATAATGGAGTAATAAAATAAATCGGAATTTCTATTAATTTATTGTCAACTTCAACTAATACATTACCGTTAATATATCTAACAAATTCAGCTATTGTGTCAAATCTTCGTCTTCTTTTTGTCATTGATTTATCAGTTTTTCCATAATCGAGATGAATCAAAACTTTATCCCCTTGTTTAAAATTCATGAGCCCCGAATTAATTTGTTCACGTTTAACATCATTCAACCTTTCCATTTGCTTTCTAATATATTCCCATTCTTTTGAAATATCATTTTTCATTTCCATTGGTTTCATGTTTATTGTTCTATGCCATGTATTATTGTAATAATATACTAACTGTTGTATGATGGAGTCATGATTTCCATCCCAGTATATCTGACCGTTAACCCCTAACGCATCTCTAAGAGTTCTCATTACCGCATCAACTATTTTATTATGAAACGTATATGGAGAGGATGAGAAGTAAAAATTAATTTGTGGGAAATAATGAGTCATAGCCGCCTGAAATCCTTTATCACCATCACCCCTGATATTATCTACTCTTTCATGATCTAGTAAGTATTGAATAGCTCTTCTTGTTTCCTGTTCTGTTTTCCCTTTCACCGGAATGCAATATAAATATCTAGTGTTAATGTTAATGGCAAATAAATAAGTAACTTTTCCTTTTGAATATTCTAAATGATCTATTTCGTATGAATATGGATATGGAGCAAATGGAGGGCGACTAAATTTTTCCTTTAATGGTTGAATTTTTGGGTCAATTGGTTTATTTAATATCTTGAAATCCTTTTTAAAATCTTTTTGCTTCTTTAATGTTTGAAATGGATATAATAAAGTGAATGATGAAGGATTAACTGAAGGAGGAGGCGGTACTGTCGTTGGAGGTTTTGGTGTTGCAAGTGGTTTAATTTTATCTGCTTTGATTTTGGATTTCATTCCTTCCTTCATTAATTCTGGATGTATTCTATTCATTTGTTTTAAATATGCTGTATATAAAGGTTTGATATACTTTCCCGCTTCGAGTTTATGTTGAAGGATGAATTCCAAAAGTTGATCTTCATTTAAAAGTCGGGCTGAATATGGTTTAACTAATGAATCATAAATTAAAGCTTGTGCTTCATTTATGGTCTGAAGGGTTAGGGTGTTTTGCACCTTTTGTTTTTGTTCCTTTGGCTTTTGCGGCTCAGGATTATATAATTTATATAATTCATCAATATCTTCTTCTGTTAATACTTTATTTTTGAAATCTTTCAACTGTTTAAGTTGTGATTTAGTTTTTTCCTTTGTATATTCATTATTTTTAATTTTGTCTTTAATTTTAGAAATTATTTTATCATGATATTTCAAAACTTCATTTTTATAATACGGATAATAATAATCCATATCATCACCCGTTATATTGTTATCATATTTTTGGAGATATGATTTTAATTCATAATAATTAAGAAAATTTTGATTAAATACTAAATCAGCAATTAAAATTTTTAAATCTACGTTATCCATTTATATAAAAATAAAATAAATGTTTAAGGGTGCCCACCTCTTTGAATCATAGTATCAAAACCATCATTAACGGTTCCTTTTGTCTCTTCTGTGGCATTTCATTAAGAATAAAATTTTAAATTGTATTAAATAAATGGCATACAACATCCATTTTCACAACATACAGCCTTAGTGTGTGCTCCTGTTAATGCAGTCTTACCGATTGTTAAGCGAGTCATTGACCCGTTTTTAAGTTGTAAATTAATATTCTGACCATCAAATATCACTTTATCATTTATTATATCCAAATATTTTTTAGGTGTTAATTGCTTATTTTGTCGTAAACTAACACCTTTCATTTTTTGTGCAATCTTTTTAAAATCACTTCCATCAATTGAACCGTTGAATGATGTATAACATTTAGGACATAAAGCAACCATGTTATCACCTTGTTTCTCAATTGCTAAACCCAATAACTTCTTCTCATGTGCTTTTTCTTCAGCTTTATTCCTTAATTTAGGTTTAAATTTCTCATCAAAACAGAAGAAATCAAATGGTGCGAATTTGAAAATGTTTTTATCATAAAATTGTTTATCGGTAACAATTGCTTGAAATGCTTGAGTGTTAGGAAGATTTGGGTCGCCAGCGATTGCCCAATAAGATGAATCAGTATCACCTTCAATGAAATGAAAACGATTAACATCCATGCATTTATACATAAAATCATAAATGAAAACCAAATACCAGTATTTAGCATTATCTAAAGTAAAAAATGCCTCTTGTAAACATGTATCACATCTATAAAATCTATCTTTGAGCATCACTTGATACGTATCCTCTCCTATTTCTCTTATGTTTTTAAACTTATTTGACATACATGCAACGCGTGCCCTCTGTGCATTCATTATTTTAGTCTTTGCGTAATTTTGTGTATTCATTGCATCGTAACCATATGATCCATTAAGTGAAATTTTGCAAAATAAACTTTTTCCTTTATTTCCTTCTAATTCAGCCCTTTGTCTTTCGTTCATAAATTTGTTCGCAAATTCATTAAAGCAAGTGTTTTTCGTAAATGTTAAAATTGATTGAATATCATCAATGATAAAATGAAATCTGTCTATTAGATACCATAGATAATAAGAAGAAAATGGTTGATATTGGTTGTGTGTTGATGCTAACTGAGTTAATTTCCTCTGTTTCTGGTCAACTGGTAGATTGTTTGATTTCATGTAATTATACATAAAACTGCCAATTGTTTTTTCATCTGTGATAATATCTAAGTTTCTTATTATCGGTAAAAAGTTTATGTAATCATTAATGTATTTTTCATCAATGTGACCCTTTACTTCAGCCACGAATAAAGTATTTCTCTTCTTAATTATTCCCAGTGCTTTTGCTTTCTTTGTTGCTGTATCGCAAATAATAACACCATTCAATCTTCCCGGCATATACATTTTATGGTCAGTATATTGAATGAAATCATGAGGATTAGATGAAAATGATGAAGGATATAATGAATTAAAGTCAACACCAACGAAATGAGTCATAATGTTGGTGGTGTCCTCATTTGATACAGTTTTAGTTTCTGGATTATATGAAAGTTTATTAATGTGCGTGATTCCTTTAAGATTAACACGATGTTGAACATTTGATAGACCACCAGTAATTCCATTACGGAGGATGTGATACGCTTCCACTGAATCTAAAGTCATTGGTAAATTATTTTTCAATGCGTAATTTCTTAAATTAATTCTTAAACGTTGAACATCTTCATCTTTATTTGATTTTACGACATTGCAATAACAACACATTAACTGACAATTTTCTTTGGTATGTGGTTTTTCATTATCGATTCTATCCAATGTTGGTTTATTTGCATATGTAAACGCTTTACCACACATTTTGCATTTAGATGAAAGGATTAAATCGTGATAGTATTGAAAATCATCCATTGAAACATTATTTTTAGTATCCCTTTCTGCTTTTTCATCTTGTTTCTTATATGATTCAATTTTATATTTCCAATACTTTTTCGTTAATTCAAAACTTGATTCTATCTCTTCCTCAGGATATTTTTCATTAGGATTAAAGTCTTTATATGCTAAAGCGTAACGAATCATTGAAGCATTCGATGATAAAGAAAGATTATGAAGCATGTCAATTTTATAAACAAATGTTTCTTCAATAATTTTATCAATTGGGTCAATCATAATTTCAACATCTTTATTGCAATAATGAATAAAATATTCTAATCTATTCTTAAAATTTTTAGCATCATTGAGATATATTTGATAATCACTATCTGATATAGTTTCTTGGTTAATGCTGAATAAAATGAATCTTGAGTGAATGGTTCCTCTTTATATAATTCTTCTTCGTAATTCTCCCATGTGATGAATTGATAAGGGAAAAAGGATTTAACACGTGATTTATTGTTTCCGAAATCTTGAGTGAATTGGTCTAATGTCCCACCCGCTATATAATTTCTGATGTCAATAAATCTCAATTCATATGGAACGTTTGTTTTCTTTACAATGATTTGCTTAAATTGTGAAGAAGAACCCAGCATTGATTTTATTTTCCATTTTGCAGTGTTTAAATCACGAAGAATTAAATTTAAATCAAACTTTCCCGAATTAAAACCTATGATATTCACTTTATTGAATTCCTCATCTAGAAGTTCTTTAAATGCTTCCTTCTGTTTTTCATTTAATGTTTGGTCTGAAAGACCTTCAGGACTCAAAGAGTCCGTTTGCGGCTTCATTAATTCTTCATATTGTTCAATATTTGATTTAGCAACTAATGAACAGGTTGAAAATAAAAACTCAATCCAATCAGAAATAAAAGAATCACTCGAAGTTAAGCAAAAATTCCTCGTATATGTTTTATCATTTAATTTAACCGTTGATGATACCATGAATGGTTTTAAGTAAGCGTTCAAAGTTGCACACTCAGAAAGTTGTAATTCTTCTTTAGTCTCTAATGTTTCGAAGTCAAAAGTAATATAATATCTTGTCGGTTGATAATATTCCTGCAAATTATGAGCTAATAACCACTGATATATCTTCTGTTTCGTAATATGTGGTGCATATGGTTGCTGGTCTTTTGCAATTGAACGTCTTGAATTAATCTTCCATTATTTTCTTTACATTTCTCACAATGCTTTAAAAATCTTCTTTGGTTTTTCCTTTCTGGATCATCACGGATAGAATAAACTTCTTCTTTACAATATGGACAAACTCTATAGCCGGTGAGTGCTTCAACGTCTGTTATTCTGTCAGCGTGAAGTTTTCCACATGGACTCTGTGTTAATAAAATATTTACTGTTTCAAATTCTGGATCTATCATTATTGAATCCACTAATGGAAAGTCTACCTTATTTATGTCCACGTCTTCTGGTTGAGGATCACAATAATAGAAATCAATATTAACATTTAACATTCTCGCTAATCTCTCACTTTCTGATGAAATGTCAAACCCTTCATATGAATCTATTGCTTCATTTAAATAGCTTCTACGAGTTTTAGGATTAACACCATCAGGAATGTTATAGAAGCGTTTAAATAACCTTCTACCTTCTGCTCTAATTTGATTATCATTCATTTTAGCTGTTCCGTTTTTGTTCATTTATGTAAGAATAAAAAATTAAAAAATAAATAAAAATAAAGTTTATTTTTTAAAGCCCATAAAATGAATTAAGAACACATAAATTTTTATCATCTGCGACGTGACGAATACATTTTAATTTACTCAAGAATGCGTACCCTGACACATTAAATCTAATTCCTGTCTTATTTAATTTCACAACTTTGAAAAGGAATGTATGAATAGCTATAAAATGATGAGAAGATGTTTTATGGGTTGCTTCCATTTTTTCTGAAATAAATGAATAAATATAATGTTTATAAGTTTTCATATCTTTTATATTCTTAATAACGAATGGTATAGACCTTTCCACTTCGTCTTCCTTCGGTGCTGTTCTTTCATATGAAACATTATTAGTATCTTCAACAATGAAACCACAATCACACAAAATTTTATATGTTCCAATGGTTTCTTTTGATATTTTATCTAATAAATCAAAAACTTTATCAACACCTGTGCATTTATTTAAATAATAATTTGTGTAAATATCATGATCTTCTTTCTTAATCGTATTAGTTGCATAAGTCACGTTTTTAAGAGCTTTTTTGAATTTTTCGGAATCTAAAGGTGGTGAAAGTAGGATACAGGGGTATTTTTCATTATCAATAAATTGTAACTTATGTTTACGAATAAATTTAGTACCTTCTTCTGAAAGTGTTTCGTCTATTTCACCATCTAATAAATTTTGTGTTGATTCTGAGACATAATTTTTATATCTTTCTTCATGAGATTTCTGAACTTCTGATTCTGAAGCTGGGATATTCATTAAACCCTCTACTTCATTTTCATTATATTTTTCAACTTCTCTTAATTCCTTAATTTTTTCATCTATTTCATCTCTTATTTTTTCCAGTCTTTCAATTTCATCGTATTCATCATCTTTAATCCGTTCTTCATAATATTCAGGGAAAACATCAGGTTCTTTAGGTTTTTCTTCTTCAGATGTGGGATATAAGAAATTTATAACATCATCTTTATTCATTTTTCCATCATAATCTAAATCATTTAATAACTCGGCAAATTTTTGACAATTTCTTAAATAATATTTACTAACTTCATAACACATCTCATCTAATATATCCTTTATTTCCTCGTTTGTGAATCCTAATTTTTTAACGTTGTTAGTTTTGACGCTCATTTCATACAAAATAAAAAAATAAAATAATAAACATAACTAAGTTTCTAATTTTTCGTAAGAAGTTTATTTTTTATTCATGAAAATAATTATTTCTAATTTCTTTTACTCTCTCGTACATACTAGATTTAAAGAATTCAGAACTTTTACCATAATCTCCTAAATGTTTTCTTATCTTATTGGTTTTCCATTCATTATATGAAACTGAATAAACTTTATCTTTATCTTTGCATCTTTCATCACTTCCAATATATTTATATCTCAGTTTTGATTTAGCATTTTCATATTCATTAGCGTTTAATAATTCACAGTCTTCCTTTTTAAATAAATGTTTTATGTATTCAGGATTTAATACTCTACGTTTATATGCTCCTAACTTAGTTCTAAAGGTTTTTCTACAAAATTTAGGAATTCCATCCTCTTTAATGTCATCAATGATTTCCATTTCATTATTTTCAATTTCTTCTTCTCGTTTATGAGGTCTTTGATTATGACTCCATTGATTCCATGAAATTAAATATTCTTTATCATTATATTTATACCTCATTAGCTTATTTTGGCTTTCATATTCATTTAATAATTCACAATCTTCATTTTTAAATTGAAGTTTAACCCATTCAGGATTTAAACAATGTTTAATTAATCGCGGAATATCTGACATCATCTATATATAGCTTCTTTTATAAAAGATAAAAAATAAATTATTTTAAAATTAATGTTAATTTTTTAATGCGTTTAGTATATAATATTTATTACTAATTTATTTAATAATGTCGCGCTTTCTTACAAATTCATGACTTAAAAAACGTAAGAAAAAATTTTTATATCATCTATATATAGAAGATGTGAAAATATACCTTCATCTATATATAGACGTAACAAAAAAAGTCACACAACCCTTCCTATCCTACTACTATGCTTCTTTCAAATTTCTGGACATAATCAAAATTGTGAAAGAGCATTTTATTTTGAATTGAATCTATGTTTTGAATTTGGCAAAAATTTACACCCAATTCGTTCAAATATTGAATTTAATTGAAATATTCACATGGAAGATTAGGACACTAAAGGATGTAATCAACTTAAAAAGAGCTATTTTTGAAGATTAATTTTTTGAATTCCTTGATTTTCACTAGAAATCATGCCTTTTGTGACAGGGTTATTTCTCCAATGTCAACCTGCACAATCTTGTCATTTTGAGTTGGTGTTGTAGCATGAAATAGGTTGATGGATTCATTTTGATAAAAATTTCAGTATTGGATTATGGACAATAATAATTTTATATATATTTGCAATAATAATTAATAGAAACATAGTGAATACTCAAAAATAATGAAGTTTCAAAAAAAAAATACATAAATTTCTGGCAAGGTTCAAATTATTGCTTAGAAGAATGTGAGTATCGGATATTTTATATGAGATATAACATATTTAAAAACTTATTATATTGATTACACATTCAAATGAGAAATTCATTGAAAAAAGAAGCTCAAATTTCTTGGAACTTCCTAATAAAAGGAGTTCAAATGAAAATAGAAATTCTGCGTCGCATTTTCCTAATGAAAGAAGTGAAAGTGAAAGATTAAAAGAATTTGTTTTCATTTTATTTGTATTACAGCTCCCAATTGAAGTTCCTGCTGTTAAAATATCCCCAAAACAGCTTATAATGGTTATAATACCATTCATAGATGCACTGAACGTATGATCTGCCTTGTTCTTTAAGAATATGCAATCTGAAACAGTAACATTTGATGAATCATAAGATGAAATGACACCCCAATGAGATGTTTTTGTCAGGCACGAGTTATTTCTGAATAAAGACATTTTGACAAAGGAATTAGGAGTTTTTTCATGCCACATGCAATTATATGCATTGACATGATTGTCATTTGAAATAAAACAACAAAAACTAACATTGACTGGACTATTTCGAAAATCGTAGCCAGAATGGTGTTCAGATGTTGTATTAGTGTTATTTGTAGAAATAAATCTTTGCAATCCTTGTTGATGGAATATGCTGGAAAATCCGGTACTATCATGGCCGCATTGAAAGAGGGAACTTAAATTTATAATTTTTTTTTTTCATTTGTTTGAACATTTGTCCATGAATGTTTTCCATCGCCATTTGTGTAGCATTTAATGGAGCAAAATCGGTCTTGGACAATTGAACTGCTGCCTGAGAAGTAGATGCAGCCACCATTTCCTGATGAGCGTGTAATATTAGTGAATGTGCATATGGAATGTAGCAATTTGATATAATTATCTTCACAACTGATGATATTGTCTTTAAAATCTTTGAAATCTGATGAAAGTAAAAAAAACTTTGAGAAATAGTTGGCTTTGAGTTATTTGTAATACATGTATACTTTTCTGTTGGTTCTCCATAGTATTCTTCCCAGATGTCATTAGGAACACTAGCTTCATTGAAAGCTAGAGTTGAAAAATGATTTTGGAGAAAAAATTGATAAAAAATTTTCAAAAAATTTCTATCGATCTTCTGAATTCAAAATGATGATGTTTGAACAGTTAATAAAAATTAAAATAATAAATATAATAAAATGTTTGATTGAAAATAAAAGTGACATTTTTACCAAACTTATATAGAAAATTATCGAATTGTTGATGGATATAAAGTTGTCAGTCTGAAAGATGAATTATGGGTTCAAGTGTTCCACCATCATGCGGTCGAATTCTTTTCTAACACGAAAAGTATTGCCTCCGAACAAATGTTTTTCATTAACAAAACTAACATGTTCAGTATTCTTGGATATGTTAATGACAGACTGAAAATAAACGGTCGATACAACTTTTTATTTCATTATCCCGATGATTTACCCGATGATTTTTTCTACTTTAAACAAAGTTCACATCCATTATATTCAACAACTGCATCCGACTTCTCACAAGATTTTGTATTAAATAACTGCGAGTTAAATGATACAAACGGTCGTGAATTCACCGGATTAGCAAAATCTTCTTCATTAAATTCTTATCTTGATGGAAACATCAATCCATATCATACCTGGTATGCTTGTGGATTTACGCAATCATACGTAAAACCAGGAAGAATTCCTGGACCTCCCTGCAATCCACTGAATGACCATCTATCTCAAACCAGCGATCTTTGGCTAAAGATTGATGATTTACAGAAATTAAACTTACTTTCAAAATATGCAAACCAAATTACTAACATTTTTAAAATTTATTCAAGAATGCCTTTAACAACCATTCTGTTTTCTATATTTTGCTCATTTTAGATTGATTTAGTTTTAATAAAGTCATTTTTCATGTAAAATTTAAATCTTTTTTGAATTTTAAGAAACATTACAGCAAAACGTTATAATAACATATGCATATGTAGAATATTTCAACTAGTATTAGCATAGGACAATTCGAAATTCAATATTTTCAAATAAGATCAAATGAAGCATTACACTTGGATCTTACTGATTCTCTTCACCCTGTTTATTTGGAGATTTACCGTTTGGATCTTTCATGTTTGCTCATTTTTTGCAAAAACGGAAATGATGTAAAATCAAGTAACAAGATTCAAGATAAGTTGTACACATCTTTTTGATGTAAAACTTAATAACAATTTGTTGAAAAACAAAGTTTTTTCTAAAATTCGATGAATTATAATTTAAAAAATTAAAAACAATTTGTTGTAGAACAACGTTTTTATTATAACAAATTCAGAAATTTGCGTTAATTCTGAGGTTTCGGAGCCTCATAAGCGAAAATAGGTTTCTTGATGATGAGGGCATCAGAAAAAGTGAGTTGTGTAGGGTGGTCGTGGACAACCGTTGCGAGGAGTTCGTCAGGGAAGATGTGGAGGACGTCAATTTCGTCAAGAGAGTCTGGAGTGTTCAAATAGATGAGTCCTGCCTCGACATCGAATGCTCTGATGAGAGCAGCACCGTGGTATGTTGATGGCTTGAAATTACGAAGGATTTTGATTAATTTCTTCTTATCTTCTGGTTTCTTAACGATTCTCTCAACGGAATCGGTGCTCTTGAGAAGGAATGCGATTGAACCGATCGCGTAGTTAAGAACTTCTGTTAAAATGATTGGTTGATTGAAATAAAAATATGTTTTCTTCATTTTAAGGACTTTTGGCTTTTGTAGTGATGTAGGACCGATCATTCTTGTAAGGTATGTTGAATATCGAAGCTCTCTCTTGAAAACTTTCTTGATTAAACTTACATTTTCGATTCTCTTCACGACAAGTTCAAGAGAGTTAGCGTAGATCTGTGGAAACTCTAATGGTTCAGGTCTGCGTATTAAAACTCTAAGGTGTGGACGAATAATCTTGAATAAAGTGGAATGTACGACAGCTCCAGCTTTAAACAGTTGTCCAAGCGAATTAACAATCAATGGGATGCCCTGTGGAACAACTGAAAGTAATTTAGTAATGGATTCATAGTAAAACTGTTTATCTGTTGGATGAAGGTATCCGTAATCGACAATTGTCTTCTGGTTCTTATCGTTCATCTCAGGAGGTCCGAATATTGGTGATTTAACAATTGTTAATGAAAGTGTTCTTGGAAGTGAATTTTCGGATTGGCCTGGATCTACGTCCAAATAAGCGACTTCTGGGTACTTGTTGAGTAAGTGGTTGGTATAGAACCTAGCAAATGTCGATTTTCCTGTGTCACTGTCTCCAATAATCATTAATCTTGATGTTGCTTTAACGCGTGAATCTATTTCCTTAATTTTTTCGGCATCATACTGTAATTCAGGAAATGTCTGACTGTAATAGATTCCATCACTCAATTGGAAGAAATCTGGTCTTTCTACGGAATAATACTTTCTTTCAAGGGGAGAAAGCTTCTCTATTGGAATTGTTGTCAGAATTAATGTGAAATCATACTTAGATTTGACTTGTATTGGAAGAGAATGGCTTGGAGCATAAACTTCTAACGTTGGGCCTTTTTTAATATGATAGCCATGAATGTTAACAGATCCTCTTTCAAGGGAAATATACATACGTCCATAAAAAGAAACACATCCTGCTCGGAAATCAAGAATTTTGGTCGTCATTTGAATCAAGTGAGAAAAAAAAAACTTTCAATAAACAGCTATCAAGATTTTTTTCGGATAAATATTGATTGGTGTATTATGTCAAGCATATAATCGAAGTATTTCCATTTTATTTGAATAATTTCGATTGAAGATCAAACCATTTCTAAATATAACCCATAAAATTATATTGCAAACTACAATGAAACGAGAATCTTGTTATTTGCAATGTAAAATATCAGTTCATTTTCCATATTTTCTTGAAAATATGATTTTTATTAAGAATCTTGCATTCTAAAATGGAAGGATCTTATCCTCAGACAGCCAAAATGGAATGGAAACCAAACAATTCCAAAAATTGTTTTATTGAAAAAAAAATAGTTGAAAATTGATAACATAACAATAGAGTGTAATCTAATTGAAATAAGGTGTTTATAAAAATAATAATAGGCAATTGGACCTGATCGCAACTTTAGTATGTAGTTGGATATGTGCCAGGTGGATATTGTCCCTGTGGGTATGGTTGCTGATAGTTTGGATCAACTGGCTGACCTGGGTATGGCTGAGCTGGGTATGGTTGGGCTGGATATGGTTGAGCTGGATAAGGCTGAGCTGGGTATGGCTGGCCAGCTGGATATGGTTGTCCAGCAGGGTAGGCTCCGCCATGTTTGTGCTTCTTCTTGGATGATGAAGAAGAGGAGGAAGAGCAGCATGAGCAGCAAGATGAGCAGCAAGAGCATGATGAGCATGAGCATGAAGAGCATGAGCAGGAGCCTGAGCAAGATGTTAAAACCTTTTTAAGCTTGGAACCAAGAAGGATGAATGAGACTGCAACAAAAACTGCAAAAACAACTAATAAAGTAACACCAACAACAGTAACTGGTGCATACTTACCAAGAATTAATGTGCTTTTCTTTGTTTGTTGTGCTGCACACCTGGCGAAATCAGCTAAAAAGCTGAGAAGAATCATTATTTTTGTTTTAGATTATTCAAAAAAACGTTGCTATTCAATTTCGTTAATTGAATACTTATTCCAAAACTATTGTAACTATTTAATTTGAATGAAATATCTATTTTAATAATAATTTGCCGATATGCTTTGTAAACGATAAATAAAAAAGTTTAATAAGAAGTGTTAGAATATACATTGTAGTGCATTATCAATATTTATATAAAATGACGATAGCCAAATTCGATTCAATTTTTGAAGAAGGACAAAATGATGTTTAATTTTATTTTTTATTACTTAAAAATGATGAAACAAAACAATATGATATTTAAATGAATCCGAAATCAGGAACCAAACTTTGTTGAATAATAGATTTTATCTAATTATATAGCATATGTAATTCCGGTGTTAGAATTTATCTCAAAAATTGAATGATTATTGATCGTTAGTATTCAAAATATTCATAATTCTAAATAGTGATAGTCTTTGTTATATCAAATTCATTATGTCTCTCATTTATTGATGATGATTCTTGTTTTCGAGTATGTCTTAATATCACCGCACAGAACGAAACCTCAAATTACTATAATTTTGAATATTTATCTTTGATTTTTCAAATAAGCAATTTAAAGCTGATATTTTAAAATTAGTGTTAATAGAATATGTGCTGTTATTAGCTTTTTTTTAATATTTTGCAAAATCATAAAATCGAAAAAAAATTAAATCTTGAGGAAGTATTATAATATTCTTTGCAATATAATAATGAGCATGACTTGAAATTTGATGATCATTCAGCATTAAAAAAAAATCTTAAAAAAATCCTGCTTTACAGAAAATTGAGTGTTGTTAAGATAAACAGGATTTTTGGAACATTATGGATTAATTATTATCTGTTTTAATATAAAATGAAATAAAATGTATTCTTGTGAGTGTTTGGTGTCTATTTAAGCAACAAAGAGTTACCCGAGCATAAATTATAAATTCATTGTTTTGTAAAAAAAACATTTAAATAAAATTTACGCTTAGAAATTAAAATGGTTTACGATTAAGCAGTCAATGCCCTCAAAGCCCTAACATATTTGTGAGGATAGTGATCTGTGACGGAAGAAGGTGCTAATTCGCCAAACACTTTTCCTGGTTTGATTAAAGCATCCTTAAGTGTTGTGGCCTTTCCATCGAGGTGGACGATGTTGCCAAGTAGTTTTGTGACTGTTAATTTGCTCTGTTTCTTGTCGTATTTGATAATATCGCGAACCAAGAAACTGATTGATCTATCGAGTACCTTGTACATGTTTCTGGAGAATGGGTTCTTCTTCTTTGAGAATGATTTCAATGCAGAGCGAATTCCGAATTTGAGGAAGAATGGTTTCATTTTTCCGCCTGGAACGAATTGCTTGATCATTCTATGAAGGCTGGCGATGGAAAGATTTGGAACAATATCGTTGTTGTAGACGAATGATAAAATCTTGTTTTGAATTTCTTTTGGCATCATAGAAGTTGTCGGAGCGGGTGCAAATGCATAGCATCTGATGCGATTGTACTTCTTCTTAAGGTCTGGATCTGTCAATGCGCGGAAAGTTAAAAGAGTTGCTGCAGATGCACCAAGAGAGTGTCCGCAGACAACGAAATTGCCATTATAGTTAAGGAATACTGGTTTGATTTCATTGTAAATGCTTTCAGCAGCGCGATAGAATCCTCTATGTACATTAACTTTATATTTTCCAAATTCTGCATGAATTTCCTTGTAATCGAGGTTAGCATCCCAGTCAGCAACTGAGCTAGAACCTCTGATAGTGATGAATAATGTATTATTTACTTCGTAAATGTAATATCCTGGTTTAAATACTCCGGCTTTTGAAGATTTTAACAGCATTTTTCCACCCTTAAAAGTATTTTCACCGTGGTATGCATTACGAGCAAACTGTGCGGCAAGATTAATAAGAGTTAGGTTTAAAAGGGGACTTGTATCAGGCATTATCAGATTGACAATTTTGACGTCAGAATCTAAAATCTTCAATCAATCATAAAAATAAAAACAAATATAGATTGCAAATATGATTTACAATAAATTCTGAAATCATCCAAGTAATTCTTTGAAATTTTTAACATAATAAGTCAGATTCGGCTATTATTTTACAATATTTGAGATTTTTGCAGTAATGCTGTGCTATCTATTGTCTTCAAACGCATTGACTTTTTTCAAAAATGATAGTAGTATATATGGAAGGGTTTAGTGACTTTTTTTGTTACATCTATATATAGACGATGCATTAAAATATAATTTATAAAAATTAACATTAATTTTAAAATAATTTATTTTTTTATCTTTTATAAAAGAAGCTATATATAGATGATGTCAGATATTCCGCGATTAATTAAACATTGTTTAAATCCTGAATGGGTTAAACTTCAATTTAAAAATGAAGATTGTGAATTATTAAATGAATATGAAAGCCAAAATAAGCTAATGAGGTATAAATATAATGATAAAGAATATTTAATTTCATGGAATCAATGGAGTCATAATCAAAGACCTCATAAACGAGAAGAAGAAATTGAAAATAATGAAATGGAAATCATTGATGACATTAAAGAGGATGGAATTCCTAAATTTTGTAGAAAAACCTTTAGAACTAAGTTAGGAGCATATAAACGTAGAGTATTAAATCCTGAATACATAAAACATTTATTTAAAAAGGAAGACTGTGAATTATTAAACGTTAATGAATATGAAAATGCTAAATCAAAATTGAAATATAAATATATTGGAAGTGATGAAAGGTGTAAAGATAAAGATAAAGTTTATTCAGTTTCATATAATAACTGGCACACGTTAGGGATAAGAAAACATTTAGGAGATTATGGGAAATGTTCTGAATTCTTTAAATCTAGTATATACGAGAGAGTAAAAGAAATTAGAAATAATTATTTTCATGAATAAAAAATAAACTTTAAAAATTCATGTCTTACATTTTTTGAATAATTTATTTTTTTAATTCGTAAGAAATGAGTGGATCAAGATTCGTAACCGTCAATCAATTAATGGATGTTCTTTCACCAATTCTTGAAAATGTTAAACAAGTAGATGTTTATTTCGATGATTATGTAGAAAGTATATATTATAAAGGTAAGTTTAATATTAAACCTATTGCTTTTGCATTTGATAATAAATTAATTGAAAATGCAAAAATTTGGGAATTAATTCCAGATATTGAATTTATAACAAATATTAATGATAAATGGTTTAAACGAATTCCAACCACAAAAGTTCTTTGTAAATTAATGATCAAAACTGAGGAAAAAGAATTTAACGGGTTTAAATATCATCCAAATAAAGTTTCAGAACTAGAAAATGAAAAACTTCAGAAAAAATTAAACGATAGACTTTCAAATGATCATATTGAAAAAATAAATAAACTAGCAGAAGTTGCATTTAATAATGAAATATTTGATGAATATAACCTTGAACTCAGTGATGGACTTTAAGTCCTGGGCACTTTGTGCCTTGGGCTTTAAGGACCCGGGCTCAACGAGTCATGATTTATGAAATCAATAATTTGATTTATTCGCTCTTCAATAATTTCTATTCTTTTTGTTAAATCATCTATTTTCATTAATGAGGTGATTCTTGATTGAGGAATAGATTTCAAACTAACCACTCCTTTTATTTTTGAAATTTTGAATCCATCAACTTTAAACATTTTATTCAATTTACACGTTGTCAATTCTTCAAATAATTTTTTATTGTTAGCATAATAGTTATTAAATTCTTCAACAGATGAAAAAATTTTTATTTCAGTAATTGGTTTAACAACGTTTATTTTTTGTTGAACATTTCCACTTTCATTTATTTCTTCCTCCTTTGTTTCATTTATTTTTAAAATCGGTTTCATTTATCATTAAATAAAAATTAGAATATAAGTGATGAAATATATTTTTTAATTAATATTAAATCAGAAATGGCGGCAGGGTTCTTTAAAAAATTATGGGATGGAATTAAGAAAGCTGCAGGTTGGGTTTATAAAAAGGTTATTAAACCTGTTGCAAACTTTTTGGCACCAGTAGCGAAAACGGCAGGAACTATCATAGGTGGAGTATTAGGTACTAAAGCAGGTAATCCGGCGATGGAGCACAAGCAGGTAACGCAGTTGGTGGAATTGCTGAAGGAATACTTAATAAAATAGGGGGTAGATAGTGGAAAAATAAATAAATATTATTTTTATCTTAGTATCGGTTGTAGTCTTTGATAAACTTTTTCTCCTTTATTTAAAATTTCTCTTATTGGGGCAGCTTTTGGCGTTATTGATTCAGCAACGTCACTAATTGCTTCTTTATTCTTAAATATCCAATTTGCTCCTTTCTTCATTGTTTCCCAAACTTTATGCGCTCCTCTTTTTACTTTATCCCACAGTTTCTTAAAGAATCCTGCAGCCATAGTTGATTATTTCATTAAAATTAAAAATTCATTTTCATCTTTTAATTTTGATTTTTTATTTAATAATAAATGACGACTAACTATTTAGTGCCAAACACCAAACCGATTAATGGAAATGTGTTTCATTCATTCGAAAAGATAAATGAAATATTCGCAAAGAATGATGGAAGAAGATATTATAGAGAACTTGAAAGTTCATGCTATGACTCTGATGCTCCATATTTTGATGATAAACAAACTCATTTAAGAATTACAAATCCGGCTCATGATGTGAACCAATTAGGTGACACATATATTAAACGCAAAGTTAGAGCAACTCTAGTTTCAAATAAAGCTTTCACATGTGATGCCGCTTTTAAATGCATGCGTTTATTCGTTGGTTACAAATCATCAAATCAAAGCTTTAAACAATTAGAAGTAGAAACTGAAAGAGGTGATGCCGGTTATCTTCAAATGGATTGTGCCCGTGAATCTTTCGCATTTGCAACATATAAACCAAAATCAGAAAGGAAAGTTAAAAAGTTTGTTCATTCGTTATATAATAATGTTCAAAAATATGATAACTCAGTATGTGGTAAATATATTGACCCTTCAGAAGTTTTCAAGAAAGCAAATGAAGAAGTTGATATCACTTTTGATATGATTATTCCGGTAAATGATTTGTTAGCATTTCAAGCGTTCGATGATTATCCTAAATCATTTGGTGAAATCATTCTTAAATATTATGTTTTCAGGGATACTTTAGTATTTTGTCAGGTTGACCCGTTAAGAGTTGCTGATTTACAAAATTATGTTTATGAAAAGATAACTGATGAAAATTATGAAAAGATTATGAATCATGTTTATAAATATGATCGCAAATTCCAACAAATCGGACTTCCTACCAAATTAATTACAGGCTTAGCCGCTACATCTGCTGACGCAACAGTTGATGACGTTATTATTTCATGCACAAAGATGGAAGTTTTAGAGGATAAATGCATTACACCAGGATACGGTTTAATTGAAGAATCAGTTAAAGCAATACCACGTTTATTTAGTAAGGAAGATCCATTCATGATTCCAGCTCAACATATTGACGTTCGTTCACTAAATGGAGGTTGCATCACTCCTGAAGGTATCAGCTCAGATTTCTCATACGCTCTTCATAATGTTACAGATGTTGTGTTAGCATTTCCGAAGAATGCAATGCAAAGAACAGTTTTAGAAAATCCAATGCTTCGAGGTCTTCAGGTCACTATAGATTCCAGAAACTTCCCCGATCAAGCGATGACCACAGTGGGTGACATATTCTTTACACGTATGCTTCAAGCTTCTGATTTAGATGGAGTGAATGAATGCACAGAAGAATACGAGGACTCATTAACTAGACCACTGAATGCAGATGATGGCACGCCATTAGCTAGAACATGGAAAGACCAAACTTCATTCTTATGCACTATTCCAGTTCAACGTGATGGAGCGGGTATATTCTTTGATGGATTAGAAACTTTCAACTCACAAGTTACAGTACAAGTGAAAGCTTATCCAATCATTCAGGGTGAAAATGACACTTACTGTTCAAAAGTGACAAATCCTCCTCAGGTTTGGTTTACTAGGACTACATATTGGACATGGACACCGGATGAAGGTTTGAAATATCATCCAACAGGTACACCACCGCAGTATAGAAGTTCATATGATGAAATATTGATGAATAGAAATGTATAAAATTATAAATTTATTTTTGATTAAATGGATTTAAATTCTGAAGAATTAGCGGGAGTATATAATACATACGTAGATGATATGATTAATGAAGCATTGAGTGATAATAGAAATGCTCTATCTAAGGAAAAATTAATGAAAATTCCATATTCTGAATGTTACTTAAATTCAATCACTGCAGCAATTGGTAAACAAAATAAAGGTAAAACATTAACGATATTAAAACAAATTATCATTATTGCTAACACTTCACCCCATTCACATGTGTTAATTTATATCAACCGTTCAGGTTCACCTTCAGATAATACATTTGAATCTTTAAAGCATTTAATCAAAATTCCAATTATTTATTTATCACAAGAAGAAGCAGAAGATTATTTAAAAAACTTTTTAATGTATAAAGAATTATATAATACAATCAAGAAGCAAGGATTAGAGGATAAAATTATTGATAAACAACGGGATGAATTATTTGAAACACTTTCTATTTCAAATTTTGATAGAGAATTTTTGCATTCACTAATTTTTCTAGATGATGCGGTGAAATCAAAACTAATAACTAATGAGAAATCATATTTTAATCAGTTATTAACTCAATGTCGACATATTCAATGTTCATTCTTTATGGCTGTTCAATACTTCAAAGCATTAAGCACAAACATTAAATCAAATCTATCAACCCTTTTCATTTTCAGTGGGTTTAGTCGTCAACAGTTGAACGTTATGCTTTATCAAGTGAATTTACCAATGAGCATTAATGAACTTTACACACAATATCAGCAATTAGGTGAACATGGAAAAATAATAGTTGATTTAAATAAAGGAAGTGTTAA